AACTAAATCGCTCAAGATTTTAGTGAAAAATAGTCATAAACTTTTTGATTTTGTAGTAAAACTTAACTTTGGAATCTAGTCATAATTGTAATACCGTCTTAAATAAGACATATAGTAGATATGCAAAAAAGAATCATAATTTATCAACAACTGATACTATAGAGAAATAAGCTGACGATTTAATAGTCTTTCTAGCATTTATTTTAATCGAAGCATTTAATTTTTTTGGGTTCTGCTAAAATTGGTCCATCAAATCCTCAACCACATAACCTTCTTCTTCTTCGTGGCGATTTCCCAGCTTTTAGCCAGGGTCTGCCTTACATATTGTGAATAGTTTTGGCTAATTGTTTTTACGACCGGCCGCCTGTCTGACATCAACCCTCTTTGGGAATGCATTAATCGGTGATGTCTAAATACTCTTAGAAAGTACATATGACTCGGGAAAATCACATTGGTACTTGCCCGGATCGAATCCCCGCGCCCTCATGCATGAGAGGCGGGCCTTTTAACCACTAGGCCACCACTGACTCAAATAATCCTCAACCACATAACAAACAATAAAAACTACATAAAATACAATCAAAATAATTCCGTATTACCAAAATTTCAGGCCTCGCTTTCTTGTTATTTATCATCCTTGGAATAATAAAATTTAATGGCTACATTATGTATTTATATAATATATAAACTTTTTGTCTGTTATATTTATAATGTATTATAAATGCTAATTTCAGTCGTTTTTACTTTAATTCTGTTTCTTGCTCACAACTGAACCTGCTGGTGTGATCTGATTATCATAGTAAAGATTATAGATTTATTTTCGTATAAAATATTTAATATTAGGTGTACAAAAACTTATTTTAAACGTTCCTATAAATAGCGATAGAAAAGTCGACTAAAATTCCTTTTTTTATATTAAAATAGATACTTAACTGAATTTTATACGTTTTATGCCTAAGAAATGACAGTTTTTTTTATATATCTTTTTCGTCGACAATTAAAGTGTAATTTTATTTCTCAAGTGACTTTTTTTTGGTATTTTTTTATTTCATCGAACATTCCATATAAAATTATGTAAAAAGCTTATAATATTTTATAACAATACATATTTATTCAGTTGTCATCGATACCATGATTTCTGATGATAAATTTAAATAATATCATTAAATATATTTTAATAGAATCGGACACGTTCTCGTTATAAACATTATCATTATACGATCTTTATAAAATGTCTATAAATTGGGTGATAAATTATTATTATTTAAGTTGGACTCGAAAAAATAAAAAATAAAACCAAATTTTATATAAATTTTTTGAATCAAAAATAATAATAACGAATACATATATATTTTTATTAAAATAACTCAATGCTTGTTGTATAAGGTCTATCTCTTGCATACTAATCTCCAGATCACTACTTTGATTTTGTAATAAGCTGTCATTAATATTATTTATTCCACGGTACATATCATTAATTTTCTTTTAATCTATAAATATATTTTAAAAGTCAATAACAATATAATTATTTCGCCTATATCTGTCAAATTGCAACAGATATACAATTATGATTTATCGTCGTATATATTTAAAAGACAAATTTAGAACTATTTATGCTAATAATTAATATAATTTTAATTTATTATAATAATCTATTTTTAAAATTGACTTTTTCTTAAGTGGCCAATCATTATAGCATCCTGTCGAATAAAATATATAATTTAATGTCCTCATAAATAAATAATAATAAATAAAAACAAACATAATATATACAAGACATTCTAATGATTAAAATGGAATTAACAGGAAACGGTAATCAAAATTCATCAGCTGATTCTGTGAACGTTTCGCTCCAAGTAATCCGAACAGAGACTGTTCGCGAATGGAAAACAAATGAACGAATGAAATAGATTGTAAACAATATCTTATTTTGCAATAATCCCGCGTAGGAAGCTGTGCTAATTTCCTGAAAGAGATCGCCCGAACCGTTTACCGCTCGACGTTTTAAACTTTATGTAACGAACACTTGGAAGCGGCTTCCATTTTATACACACACGTATTATTATTATTTACATATATATTTTATTATCATTAACTTCACTCATCTTAAATACCAACTATATAAAGGTAATTAAATTTTAAGTGATATTTCATAATTTTATCATTGAAAATTTAATGGTAGTTTTTTATTTTATTTAATTAATTTTATGTCTTCTCTGTTGCTTTTTATAGTAATGGCAACATTATTGTGGTGATGACTTGTAAAAAAGTTGTATCTATATAACCCGTGTTTTCCTTACGTCGATGGAAACACACTCACAAGTATTAACATATTTAAAATTGATTCCGTTCGCTCCGTTAAATTTGTTGGTGATATCTAACACAACAGAGTAAAACAAATATTAATTTGACATCAAATATAAGACGATATATATTTAGAATTTTATTTTATTTGCAATACAATTTTGATAAAATAACAATACTTACAAATAATGATGAAGATACAAAGCAAAATTAGTCGACTTTTGAGTTTTGTTATTACAATAGTTCCGATAAAAAGTACAAATGAACAGTATCCATATCATTGATGTAAAAGTTAAGCAGTTAATTTGTCTTTGGTTTAATAAAGTCACAAGATGGCGTTCTTTGTCTATGGCGGGATTTATCGCGCGCCTCCACCGGGTGTCGCTTCATTTCCTGCGCTTGCCTCTTGTCGAACTCTTTGAGTGGAACAAGTCACAAGATTCGACTAAAATATTATGTTAGCCGTAAATATAAGAGTATTAATATTTTGTTCTAAGCTCCAGCGAATTCCTTATTTTTGACAAGTGCGTTTTTCTCTCAAAGAAACAAGATTTTATTTATTTTAATTCACACACTTGGAATTCATATGTAAACTAAATTAAATATTTTATATAATATTATTAAATATGAATGAGTAAAATATTAATTTCATATATATTTTTAATCTGCATTTCTGTTATTTGTTATCTGTAACGTCATGACTCGCGCCACCGTCTAACAGAATGCGCGGGATAATCACATTGTTTTGTTTTTGATTCATTGCCGTTCCTATTCGGTAAGTTTGTATTAATAATATTTCTTGCTGTTCGGATGAATATTCCGTTATGGATTTTTGATTTCCACTAAACTAATGTGTTGTGTTCATATCTCAATTTACATATGTTGTTTCATTGCTCTCTTCGCAAATACATATAAATGAAAATTTTAACTGCTTTTATCGTGGTCGTGTGTTCAAAACTTTTGTCATGTCTCTGAAGAATAACAATTATAATCAGTTTACATATAAACATATTGCTTTTTTAGTCATTTTTTCAATTGCAATATTGATAACATTTAATTTTTATTTTTCTATTCCTGTCATTGTTTTGTACTAATTGTTTTATCTTCAAGTATTATTTTGTTTCAATATATTGTATTATATGTTAATTATTAAAAAGTTTCCTTTAGTTTTTTTCATGTGAATACTAGATTCCCTCTCAAGACAGAAACAATTAAATTATAAGAATATCAAATACATTTGTTTACGGGAGGTTCTTTCTATGTTATCACCATCAAACTATGTGTTATAATCACCTTTAGTTAGTTCATTGTTCACACAGTATATATCAAGGCGATGTATGAACATCTCGAGCTGAGCTAAGATTTTGGATGCTGTAACTTACGTACAAGCATGTTAACGAATACCACTACTCGATTACATAAAATCGATTAGATAAATAATCGAATAATTCATTAATAAAAAATAAAAATAAACGTCTTAGGATATATATTGACAGATAATAATTACTTGTTATACTGATGTAATTTTTGTTAAACACTAATTTAATAAAAATCATTATTGATATAATAATTTTAACATGTATATCTACTCTTTGATTTACCATACAATATAAGATCCGTTTTAATTGCAACATCGTGTATCTGTTAATATTTGTTATTGTAATAAATATTATCACTTAGCCGCTGTGAGTCGTGGGAAATATTTAACATTTATTGGCCACATCGACTATTATGATGTTGGCTTTGTAATCGATGTGTTATCGATATCGGAACATCGCATACAATCACTATATGCACTATAAAAGAATTAAATTCTGATTATAATTTCCATTGTCTAACATTATACGTAAAATGAATTTATTATAAATTAATCTGGAGTTATAAATAAGTAATGATTAAATTATAAGTGGCCAAACGAGGTCATTGTTCAAACAAGCGGCGGCGCGGTGTCAGGATCCGAATTGTCGAATAAGCCTAAGATCGGTCCGCGAAGGCAGATTAGCCGCGCCCGGGTCCTCAGCCGGCGCTCTGATGACCCTCGATCGTATCTCCGCTGCTCTTTCTACGCCTCGAACACTTCACAGCCCGTATTGATATCACGAGGGCTCTGAATCTCTGGAAACTGCTAATGTATAGGATTTTGTTCAACGAGGTGCGTAGTACATGCATTCACACGGAACGCTGCTTATAATTTACTAATATTTTGGTCGTAATAGTGTTCAAGTTCGTAATCACCGCGACGCGACGTGTAAATCGACAATCGAATCCTCATTAATATAAGAACCCCATCCTCCTTGAACAGTTATCAGAGTATTATCTATGCGACTGCAAGGCTACAACCAGTTGACAAAGTGCACTACGTGATATTGCAGCCATTACTCCCAGTGATTCATATCTCTCCCTCCCCCCAGTCTCCACCCCCAGCTTGGCTGAGATAATGGACCTCACGTTGTCCAGATATACCTATTAAGGTGGCCGCATCCAACACATAAATAACAGAGTCGCACATGTTAGCACCGCCAACAATGAACCAGCCTCCGTTGGAACGGAATACCGTAAAAGATGCTCGCAAAAAATATATACGGATGTCAGTGAGACGGGGCGGGGGGCGGGGGGCGGGGGACGTCCGAAACTAGCGCTACAAAGAAACAAAGCGACAAGATGAGTCGAAACAATCAACGGATTCCTTCCTAAAAATGAATCGGACGTTCATTGTCCGCTATCTGCGTGTTCCACCTCTCTTGTTTACAACAGAGACGCCCAATTTGCTCGGAGACTTTTTATCTGGTGTTCTCTTTTTTCTGCACGCCGAACAAAGAGCTGATATGACAGGTTCGTACGGCCGCGGCGGTATCTGTGGCGGCTGGCGGGGCACCACCAAAAACGAATATCGAGTCATCGAGCAATCGACTAAAAACAAGGAGCGCGCCCGGCCGAGGCGCTGGACCGTGACAATTGCATCTGCACTCGAATTGCAGACGCCATGTTGGATTATTGAGAGTCTATTACGATGAAGGCTCTCGACGACCTTGTTTCAGTTACGACTTTAGTTTTATTACATCCGTTCTGTCGCTTTTATTAAAAATGGTAACTAGTTTTGGCTGCGTGTGGCAAAAAAATATATGCTACTGTACGTATTTATGTTTTACATATATTTATGTGTATTTCACTTCTAATTCAAGGAAACAAAAAGTTTATGAATGCCATCGTCGCGTCTTTAGTTAACATTCGATAACCCAATATCTTTCAAACAAACACAAGAACACGTGTATCGTTGTTGACACGTCTTAAACACAGTATCCAGTTACAGAGCTCCTCGGAAGTCCAGCTCACAATAGTGTTGTACTCACGGTATTCTTATTTTAATCGAGCCGGTGTATCGGGAGGCGAGTATCGGCGCGTTCGTGTGGAATAAAGATAGTGACGGACGTTGGTCTCGCCGATACGCTCCGACTCAAACATTTATTCCTATTTTAAAATATCTGCCAAAAGGTTTCACTATTGTGAACTATTTGAAGTTTTAAATGCAATTCTCTTTGTAACACTCACACTATATATACAGATTATAGAGAACATAATACATTAAAAAAGTAAAATTGGATACAGAAAGTTAACCTCCTTCCCATCACTGATTAATTTACATAATAAAAGCGTAAATATTTGAGTTGTAACTTCTAAATGATTTTCCCCTATCGTAAGTGAAGTTGTCAAAACTTCGGTATAGAATATTGAAACCAATCAAGCTTCAATTTCAAAGGCAGACAGACAAGCCATTCGCAAAAACGCGTCAATCAACACCTAACTTTGGCAGTTCAAAAAATAATAAGAGGAAGCAATCGGGCTTTCGATTTGACTTTTGCAACAAAAAGCGCGGGAAGCGACGCGTCAAACTCGGGATGGATTCGAAAATTAAAATCCCGTTGGGTGTGTTGGCAGCTATGACGGCTGTCGGCATGACGCTCTACCCGCACCAGCACAGCCGGCTCGATTTCAGGCTTGTTCTAAATATGTCAACACTTCTTTGTTATCGAGCGACGTGCACGCGGAAATGAAAACCTATCGAGTACACGTTGTTAATATCACAGCATTGTACTATTACAATAATTACTAATTAAACCTAATCAACATCTTAGCGACTTATTTAAAACAATAGAACGGGACAAATAAATATAAAAATATTATTTATTAAGTTTTTAGCACTCAGTCGTCGAGTTTATGAACCTTAAAGCAAAAATAAGAAAAAGGGGGTGAATCTTAATTCAAGAACAAATCTCCCACACGCAGCTTGATTGACAAAAACATAAAATCCATTTGGAACAGTTCGCGCGATATTTCTCATCAAGAAAACTTGTAGCAGTATGAGTGACGTATCAGTGGGTGTCAGGCAGTGCTCGGCGGCTGGATGTATGTATACCTGAGTACTCACTACACTAAACCGTTCTCTTCTCTGCGTAGTTAAAAAGTTCTGGGAGTGTCAGGAGAGATAGCGGCATTTGAACCTCATGACTTTTATGTACAGACGGCTTTAGATACCTATTGAATACTAAAAGAAAATCATTTGTCGCTAAAAGTATGCAGCTTACCATATTCGTGTTATATTTTTTAAACAATTTCTCATCGTGTAACATAAAATATAAACTATGTAGATATATTGTCGTTATTTTTCCCATGTATCGCGCGTCACCTGTCCGCGAATAGATTGGTCTCGATCCGGCCACATTATGTTTGGTTAATCGTCGAAAATTCTTTTGTCCGCTCAGATAAGTTTCGCGCCATTGGTTGTCACCGGTTCCTCGTATCGGTGGCATCTAAAACGTGCATATCATATCCTAATTCTTGTATAAAATAATCTTAGAACATTTTATCATTTCAATGACTATTGAGTGGTCATAGTTTAACAGCTCATAGAAGTCGCGAGCCATTCATTCAGATACGTTATCGCTAACAGAATGTAAATAAACTTCTGGTAAATCGGTAAGTTCGGTTACAATACAATAAACCGTATGTTCTTGATGTGTATCGCGTGTAATCCGCCGTGTCGATTGATAATAAATCGTAAAAATGATTGATTAACCGCTATCGCCGGTCCACGATAAGCGGCCGGTAGTACTAGCGCACGGACTGAAGGCGAAACACGCTTGCTCGATGTGCTTAGCTGTTTAAACGTCCATATTATAGGTATGTTATTAATATATTTTTGAATTAAAATATTATATTATATTTATATAATTATTATTAGGGAGAATTAATAATTTTTAATAATTAATACTCAATATATAGAATTCAATCGTCGTTCGTTTTCGATTTTGATTTTTATGTTGTCAAATTTATACCATATTATACTTTTTTAACTTAAATTGTTTTCTTCATTTAAATTTAAATCACTATTCGATAAAACACCATGTGTAAAACAGATTTAAGCAATATAGCTATTTATAATCAAGAAACTATGTATTATATAAAAATCAATTCTATGTGTTTTTCAAGCTATATTAACATTGCGATGTGTTTTTAACAATAATTCGCGCAGCAGTCTTCCATGAACCGCGGTTCTGTATTTGTGATTTTAGCATTCAGTGATAAGGCTTCTTATCGTTCTTATCGGCCGGTTTGTTTTCAATCGTAGCCGTGTAACAGTGTGACGCTGGATTGTATTGAAATGACCAGATATACAAATACATCACTAATACTATCATAGTTTTATTAAATTATATATATGAAAAGATTAAATTAATTATATGTTATCAAGCATTCAAAAATTGACAAAAAAAACATAATAAAATAATACATATAATTGAGACAGCAACGAAGTATTTAAATATTATAGCTTTTTTTTAAAGAAAATATCTCGTAAATATAATGTTTTCTCCCTACACCTTTGCCATTTCTGTTCTAACTTAATTTTCCACCAGTTCAACCATTTTTAACTCCAAGTGTGATATCAACCAAGTCAATTATCTGTTGGTTTCCGATAACAGATATGAATCTTTGATCGTATATCAGTACAGCAATGTCATATAGTAGTTTACATTCATATGTTATCAAATATAAAGATATAGTAATTGCAGATGTTTAACATATTGATAAAACATTACTGTTTATTATCTATACACATTACTGAGACGTTGGATTGGTGCTTGTCTTTATATATCTTCGTCTTCTACCTGGCAATTTCCCAGCTTTAGCCAGGGTCTGCATACATGTTGTGAATAGTTTTGGCTAATTGTTTTTACGACCAGCCATCTGCCTGGCATCAACTCTCTTTGGGAATGCATTAATCAGTGATGTCTAAATAGTCTTAGAAATTACATATGACTCGGGAAAATCACATTGGTACTTGCCCGGATCGAACCCGCGTCCTCATGTATGAGAGGCGGGGGTTTAACCACTAGGCCACCACTGACTTCTATAAATATATATATTCTGCGTTATACTTTAACTTGTTACATAAGTAACATTCTTATCAACAGATATTTCTAAATCCAGATTGTTTAGATAACGAAATCATCAGATAACTAATCTTCTGGACATTTCATTAAAATCTAATTAATAAAAACTGATATAAAGATAATATACATGTACCTAAAATACTAACATAATATTATAAATTAACATAATTATATATAAAAAGGTGTTGATAGAATAATTAATTTTTATTATAATAATAAATTATTAAATATATATATAAATAGTATTAGCTTTCATGCTGAATTTAAATATATGTGTTATTTTGTTTTCTATAAAGATTTATTTAATCGAGGTCATTCAATATCCACTTCTGACAGCGAAACTAAAGGCTAAATGTCACATAAACTGTGACATTATAGAACAAAATATAAATAATAATAAAAATATAAATATATGGATTAACATATTAAATTGTTTTAAAAGCTTTTAGCTATTTATAAATGTATCTATATATTATAATATCAGATGGCGACTATTGAATCAGAATTAAATGTGTGATAATTTATACTCAGTAGACATAGATTGTTGAAAAGTTAGTTTTAAAACGTTTATTGAAGACTAATATAACTTATATTGCATAACTATTGTTTTATTCAAAGAGTTTTCTATATAAAAGTTTTTCAAAAAACTTAATGATTATTAAAGAGTTTAAATTTGTACGCAATTTTGTACACAAACATGATTTTTATTACAATTATGTAGATATTTTATTTTTGATTCACATAAAAACATATATTAGCATTAATTCATACGTGTTATATATTATACATATTTAGATAAAATGCTAAAATCCAGAGCTTGGGCATCCAGAGTTGTCTCACAAACATTTTAATCTTAAGTTCTTGTATTGTTAGATCATTGTGTATTATATCATCTTGGTTATGTATGTATAAAATCGTATCGTATCGTAATCATATCATAAATATATCGTATCGTAGTCGTAATAAACGAATCATTCGTCTCAAAATCTCCAGACTCAAACAGGTATGCGACAATCGACTAATAATGCCGTACTACATATAAATATACCGAGGGAATTATAATCGGAACTGAATCCACAATAAACGGCCATCTGTTTACCATTCCGTTACAAGCCCACCCGAATATTTCGAGTAATCGATACCGAAATCGATTTTGAATCGCTTCATGTTAGAATATTTCCCTTATCGCAAACATCTACTCTCATTAATAACATATATCGATACAAAGCTGCCGACACGATTTATTGATCGATATTAAATAATCGTTACCGAATACTTGTAATGTGTTTGTGCTCGTTTCAATAACATACATTTTTCCGATGCTTTGAATACGATGTACCGGCGTCTCCGCTGTTCGAAATATGTGATTATTTTTTGGTGCAATAAATTACTTATTATCAGATATATACCCACTGCTGCCGACATATTGATATATTAAATACCAACAAAGATGGAAAGCTTCAATAATAATGTAGGTTTTGAAATGAACAAACGATTGAAGCGGCTTCAACTTGGATCTAAAATTTGAAAGAAAAATTGTGAGTAAGGAAAGAAATGTAGATTAT